CTGCACGACAGCACCAGGGTGTCGGGGATCTGCTTGGGAATGTTCCAGGAAGTCACACTTTTCATGTTTCCACAAAATAATACAACCAAACAAACGCAGTCTTCTAGCCCCACCCCTTCTCATTTGTGAGAAAGGGGACGCGGGGGGCGCTCACCTCTCCCGGTCGGTCCCCCACCAGCGGCTCTCCGAGGCGGGCCAGCAGACAGCGTCCATCCCGGCAGAGCTCCAGCAGCTTCGAGGCGAGCCCCTCGGCGGCGTCGTCCCGCTCCAGAGTGCCCCCGACGCGGGCTCCGAGGACCACCTCGTCCAGGCTCACGGGCAGCACTGGCCGCGCGGTACCCCGGCTCCCCTCCGCGGGGAGGCCGCGGAGCCGCAGGAAGAAGCCGCTGGCGAAGAGCCTCAGCGGGCCCGGGGACGGAGGCGGAGAGGCTCCCGCGGCGCCCTCGAATTCTCCCGCCGCCGCCGCCGCCGCTGCCTCCTCGTCGCTGAGCGCCTGAAGGCGAAGCAGGACGGGGCACGGGCCGGGGCGCGGAGGCGGCCACCTCGGGGTGAAGAGGACGGTCGGAGGCTCCGAGTGGTCGCGGAGAAGGCGACGCAGTTCCCCTTCGGACGCGAGCACGTCCAGAGGACTCGCGTGAGCCGGGAAAGGCTCGAGCCTCAACAATTCCACCTGGGTCGCCATCTTGCTCCGACTTCCTATTCGTGACGTCACGGACGCCCGTCCAATGGACGCCGACTTTTGTCGTCGCGTCAGAGCGGTCGCCGTATTGGGCCGTCCGTGAGTGCGACTCCGGACCGCCATCTTGAACCGGGAGTCCCTTTATCGTCCCGCCCGTGTCCGCTACATTTGTTTTTCTATTTCATAATAACTCGCTGAATACAGTAAACCGAAACCATTTTGCTTTATATCCTTCTTGGCACCGTTCCAAATGCCGGTAGGAACTCGCACCGCGACGTCACAAGAATCCCTTTTTGCAGGACCGACGTCAACGGGATCCACGTCGCGAGGGGGCGCTGCCGCGGCGTCTCCTTGACTGATGAAGGCGCGGCCGGTGAGGGGCATGGTGCGCATGCGCGGTGCTGGTGATGAAGAGGATGATGATGCTGCTGCTGCCGCCGCTGCTGCTGCTGCCGCTGCTGCTGGAAGATGAAGATGCAGCGCAGGAGGGGACGGTGACGATGAAGATGACGACGATGATGATGTTTGCCGATTCTGAGCGCTCCGGACGGGAAAGCACAAGCAGGTCAGACGAACGGCAACCGAAAATCGCTCCGACGGGCGTTGTGTTTATTGACGGCAAATAAGAAAAGCGTGCACGTACGCGGCGTCGTCACGCCATGGCAATCGCAATGACTCGTTTTGTCGTTCGGACACAAGGCGTGGGGGGGTGGGGG